TTACTAGTAATTTCTGTACATGTGCTTAAGTGTTCATCTCTTTTCAAACATCATGTAAATTAGCAAATGTCATGTTTTTAATATTCTTAGAAGGTATCTGTACATATCCCAACATAATTACATGTTACATGCACTGCATATTTTTCCCTGTATCTTTTTTTCATCAGAACCATTAATATCCTGTGTGTACAATATCAGTTTTTTATTATTAAATTTTACCTTTCATACTCATATTTCCATGCTTTGTTTGGGAGGTAATTATTTAGTACACCATCCAAAAAAATCTGTATTTTTTGAGTCCCCCCACTGCCAGAGACCAGCAGAACCATGTATTTTCTCAAAGAAGATAAATGCAGTATAATAATCAACCTCTCCACCAGCTGTAAATATTATGATTATTCAGCATTAATATTCCCAGGAATTTTTTACCAGATGTTTGTTTTGAAAGTTTTCTATTTGGTTTCTGTTCTTCATAATGAAGCAGTCTTTTTTTAATGCTACAAATACCATTTATCCTTTGGAAAGTTACTTTTTTTTAACCAGGGAAGCATAAATGTTATTAAAAGAAACTGCATACTTCTTAATATTAATTAATTTGTGTTCTCTTTTATCATCTTTAGTGATAAAGATGATAGTGATCATCTTTACTGATACTGGGTTTTTTTTGTATAGTGGTTTTTGTCCTTATCCATAACTACTACTGTCTGGTGATTGCAGGAAGTGATGTCACGTCCACTGCATCAGACTTGAGCCGCTGTCTGTGAGACCATCTACCTCCATGCCTTGTTTAGCCTTCTTATTGGCTAGGACTGCAGTGCTTTGTGAAATATCCTGCCTTGTGCTGTCTTACTCGTTAGCTGCTCAGTTTACAGTGGGGTTGCATTCCAATAAAGCACGGTCCAACACAGTGACCGATGCAGTCAGCGGTCCTAACATTGTAAACAGTGCACTTCATTCTAACCCAAGTTAATTATGCTTAGACAGTAAAGATAACCATCAGCTGGGCAGTGCTTTACAAATGTCGTATTATTTATTTTGCTTTTCTTAGACATGATCTCACCATATAGCCCAAGCTGGCCTTGAATTCGTGGAAATCCTCCCCTTCACACATGCCGGTATTACAAGCATTCACCACCACATCACAGAAAAAATTTACGTCAATTTTGTAAGGAAATATTAAATGTCTCAAGGGCTTCATGAACTGTTCTACATTGCAGAATATAGTAGTATCGTTCACGTGCTTCAACATGTGGGGAACTGTACTGCGGCGCGTTTCTAACTTTTAACATCAGAACGTTGCACAGTGCATTCCGCTGTTTGAGCCAGAGGAAGAGTGCGTACGGAGGTCATTTGATCCTGAGCGTATTTATTTCCTAACAGTTTAGCATCAAAAACTAATGTTCCTGGTAGCGGCAGTTTCTGTCTGTAATCCCACCAAACAAGCACAGGCGAATGGGATGACTAAAAACCTGTGCAACTCAGTGGAACACGATTAAATAAAGCACAAAATGCTGCAGCTGTAGCTCCCTGCAATTCATTAATATTCTTGGCTAAACCCTGTGTTTTATTTGCCAGGCACCATTTCACAGGCCTGTAACCCTAGCTCATGGATGGCTGAGGCAGGAGGAGCTATGTGACTTTAAGAACAACGTGGACTACATAGTGACTTTAAGGCCAGTATGAATAGCTAGTAGGAGCATGTCCAAAAAGCAAAAAAAAAAAAAAACCAAAAAAACAAAACAAAAAAAAACCAGAAACCAAAAACTGTGATTTACTAAGCAACAATACTCCATGCTTATTTACTATTATTCAGTTTTGTGTTATGATGACTTCATTACTTGCATGTTACATAATTGTTACTACTGCATTTCATCATGGATTCTGTTTTCCCAAGACTGTTTTTCAGTCTTAGAGTATTTAAGCACACAGAACACTGGTCTTTACCAAAGCCACAAAAGCTCGTAGTGGTCATTTTTCCCATGGTGATGGGCACATGTTGGCATGTATTCACCCCATGTCTCACACGTGAATTTTTTTTTTTTGTCTTTATGAGACAGGGTGTCACTAGGCAGTTCAGGCTGGCCTTGAGCTCACATTGTAGCCCAGGCTGGCCCTGAGCTCACAACGATCCTCCTCCCGAGTGCTGGCATTACAGGCGTGCGCCACCACGCCTGGATTCGCACATGAAATTAGAATTGCTGTATATAATTAATGATTTTATGCATCTTAGAATGATTGAAATCAACTGAAGAGTAATGGAATGGATACATCCGGTGGGGCAGGCACTTCGTGGTTGTAAATGTCCACATCAATATAGAAGCCAGGCATCTGGCTTTATGAGACAGGGTGTCACTATGCAGTTCTGGCTGGCCTTGAGCTCACATTGTAGCCCAGGCGCACCCCTGTCATCCCAGCACTCGGGAGGCTGAGGCAGGAGGATGGTTGTAAGTTCAAAAACAGCCTGGGCTACAAAGTGAGCTCAAGGCCAGCCTGAACTGCATAGGGAGACCCTGTCTCAAAAAGACAAAAAAAAAACCCAAAAACCCACAAAACATATTGAGTCCACATAAATAACCTGATCATGCCCATTGTGTTTGTTTTGTTTTTATCTATGTTGTTGGCATTTTGCTATTCTTTTTTAAAATTCTCTTTAAAATAAAAGATTCAAGTAAAACAAGGACATCCCAGGCACAAAGCTAGTGCATAGTAGGACAGCATAAAGATCAAAATAGAAATTGATAAAACTGAGGCTAATGAAATGCTACCTAAAAAAAAGAATTACTACATAATCATCTGAATACATACAGAAAGAGCCTTCGACAAACTACAAACATTGATGATTAAAAAAGCACTAGAGGAAAAGAGATATGTAAGAACCTTACCTCAATCTGGTAAAAGTCACTTATGTAAAACTCCTTGGGAACATTACATTCAATGGGAAAACACTGAAATATTCTCCTAAAAATTAGGGTGAAAATGATGTTCACTATGCAAGCTTTTTAATGTACTCCCCAAATTTAGCCTGAGAAATGAAGACAGAGAAATAAAAGCAGTACGTATTGAAGATGACAAGCGGATGCGTGGGTAAAGAAGACATAACCGTCCACAACTGAGGGCCTGTCTGCCGTAAAACAGAGCAAACTGGAGTCACAGCCACAGGAATGCACTGAACGCCCATAACAGACAGGCTGGGGAAAGTAGACTGATGAGGAAAACCAAGTCAGCCTCTGAGATTCAGATTCCAAGCCGGGGCAAGTAACAGTCTGCAGACCCTCAGCAGAGATGCGGATCCCTGTGACCTGCAGGGACAGGGTACGGCTCTGCTCCCAGTGGGTCTTTCCACAGCAGCGGCTGCTGAGCGACTCCAGTACAAGTGCCCGCCTCAGGCCTGGAGGTGCTAGTTGCTCAGGGACCATCCAGGGAAGGCTTGGTATTTTGAACCCAGCACCCAGCGTAGCCAATGGCTCCTCTCCAGGGCTCCCTTTGTTACCCTCCCCCAGGAACTGGGTGAGAGAGAACTGGAGACAGCTGCGGTCAGACAGCAGGCTGGAAAGAACCCAGGAGGCACCTGAGCTAGGGGAGCGAGCCCGCGCT